GGGCCGTGGTGGGGGGGTTGGCCGGTGGCCCCACCCTCGATTGGGGTGGGAGAGGCTGATCAGGGGTGGGGCCAACTGGGAGGAGGGTCGCGGGAGTTTCGCTGGCCGCAGTGGACGTCATGGTGACTGGTCATTCTGGTCGTTACGACGTTCTGGTCGCTGGCTTTTTATATATATAGATGGGGTGTCAGTCCCCAGATGCCATCCCTCTGAAGTAGATACTCTTTTTTTTTTAATATTTTATTGATTTTTTACAGAGAGGAAGGGAGAGGGACAGAGAGTTAGAAACATCGATGAGAGAGAAACATCGATCAGCTGCCTCCTGCACACACCCTACCAGGGATGTGCCCACAACCAAGGTACATGCCCTTGACCGGAATTGAACCCGGGACCCTTCAGTCCCCAGGCCGACGCTCTATCCACTGAGCCAAACCGGTCAGGGCTGAAGTAGATACTCTTGTGCTTATGGGAGACTATGAAGAATTCCTACTGGCACACTCTGCCCTAAATCTGGTACCTATGAGATGAATGATAATGAGGTGAAGATCATAGATGGGAAAGGTTTGTCTAAATGCTGAAGAGATCTTTCCTTAGATATCTACCTGGCATCCCTGACCTATGCATTCTTTCTTTGTTCCTCCCCATGTGTTCTGCTGGCTCTGCCCAGCATCCATTGAACAGTCATCAGATCTGCCCACTTTCTACTACTAGAGGGACATTAGAAATCACCGAGTCAAACCAGTTTATGTTACATATTTGTTTATTCATTTAATAACCATTTACTGATTGCCAACCCTTGTTGTGGAGCTGTGGATATATTGTTATATTGTTGTTAGTTTTGTGGAATACGTTTACCATGCATATATTTGAATGCATATCATTAGTGAAGTAGTATTCCAAGAATGATGAAAAGCAATTGAGGTACAGGTACAGGCTGCTATTTTCACAGTTATGTTGCAAGTAAGTAGTATTAAGGTTTTCACAATATGAGCTCTGCAATTTTTTACAGATTTAATTGGAAGCAATTTCATACATTTGCATGTTTAAAGTCAGTGTTTAGTCTTGTAACAATATGCTATATGAGGGATAAAGGAACAGTGAATTCTTAGCCATCTGCTTTGTGGATATTTTTCTATGAATTAAAACAATGTCTCCATTGTCATCTTTCCCGAAGCTGTGGATTCCTGATCCTATTTGTTTGTGTTTTTAGTGTGACTCCATGAGAACATTTTAAAGACTGCTTAGTTTTATTTGTTTCTGTCAGCATACCGGAATTGTGGGAAACTGGAAGGGAATTAGAATAAAATTCTTGAATTTATCAGAATAAATTCAGCTGTGAAAGATTTATAGAATGAAGAGGGAAATGGCATAAAACATGCTGATAAACTAGAATAGTAGATGTTTTTCCAATAAAGGCGAATGCATTTGCCCTTCTTGGAAATTGGTTGAGTTTCAAACCACATTAAAGAGTAAATTTGAAAGTCGAGAAGAAAGTGGCAAGTTCTCTCTCTTCCTGTCCTGGCTAAAACAAAACATATGATTTTTTAACTTAAATATAGAGCAGACTATATCTTGTAAGCAAATTGGCAAACACCTTACTAAAACAAAACCAACCAAACAAATGAAAAACACTTTAGAGTAAAAATCACCTTCCTATATAATAAAGAGCTAATCCTATATAATAAAAGACTAATTTGCAAATTGACCAAACAGTGGAACAACCGGTGAAACAACCAGTCGCTATGACACTCACTGACCACCAGGGGACAGACGCTCAATGCAGGAGGCCTTCTAGGGGGGTGGGAGAGGCTGATCAGGGGCGGGGCCAACTGGGAGGAGGGTCGCGGGAGTTTCACTGGCCGCAGTGGACGTCATGGTGACTGGTCATTCTGGTCGTTATGATGTTCTTTCTGGTTGCTGGCTTTTTATATATAT